ATGAGGTTTCGCATGCAAAATGACTCCACACACCTCTTGAAATGCATACATGTTTACAAACATACTCATGCATTCTTCACATTCATCGCATATATTCATTATGCATTCACAATATATATACATATCACAATACATATATACATATTCATCATTCATTCACAACATGCATTTCTATTCAGTTCAAGTAAATGCACCAAATTGCCAAGCAGCCACATTCCACACTCCACGAATCACAAACTAGGATTCAAGCCATACGGCTACCCACAACACACATAACAACATATAATTAATCATCTCAAACAAGGAATGGTCGCAACCAAACCATACAACCAATCCACGAATGGAAAACACAAGAAAGAAAATATGTTGTTGTGTTCGCTAACCTTCGCCTGGCGAAGCCTCTGGCGAACCTTCGCTACTTCGTTCGCCTGGCGAACTTGCCAGCGAAGACCACTGGGATTTATTCTGGAATTACTCGCTAGCACTCGCTAGCATACTCGCCTGGCAAAACTTCGCCACTCTCATTCGCCTGGCGAACTTGCCAGCGAAGACAGGGTGGATGCTACTGACTTGGTTCGCTGCTGCTCGCTGGGCTTCGCCCGGCGAAGCTTCGCTGGCATTCGCCTGGCGAACCTGCGAACTCAGAACTTCCATGGCTGTCCAAAAGCCCAAACCTCACAAACCGACCGATTTAATCCAAATCATTTCCAGTAGTACAACCCACTCATCATCCGACTATACTACACCGTCTATTCCAAATTCTAACCGATAAAACTCAGTTTCTACCGATTAAATCAACTTCCGACCTAGAAATGGAAACATAGAAAAATAATCCAACAAATCCAATCTAGCACATACATGATCATACACATTATGAAGATGATAAAACTTCTCACCCTTACCTGATTAATCGCAAGCTAGGGTTTGATCTTGATGTTTTCCAAAGTTTCCTCTTCTTTCTCTCCTCTTTCTCTTCTCCTTCTTTCTTTCTCTTTTCTTTCCTTCCTTTCTTACTATCTTTCTTTCTCTTTTATTTCCTCTTTAATATCTTCCTATTATTTTTCCCAAAAAATCTATTAACTTAATAACTCATAAAATATCCAACTTATCACTTAAATAGGAAATGTCCAAAATACCCTCCAACTATTTTCTCCGACAACTCCCAAAATCGGGTAAAATAGAATAATATGTAAATATAACATATTTCCACAAAAATTACACATCAAAATAATATTCGCCCAATTAAAATCAAAAAGGACTCAACGAAAAAGGAATAGTCGAAATCGGGGTGTTACACATTGGCTCTTATGTCATAGTTTTTAGTGCAACATGAGTTACAAACTAACTCAATTCACTTCTCCTCTTAAAAAACACAAACAAAAATCAAACCTTTTCATCCTTCGGGATTGTTTGTTCAAACCTAATTTTTAGAAAGAGAATGTTAAGTTTTTGTTCTACCGCAAACAAACATCGTCCCTAACTGCTAGAACAGATATTTAACCTTGCTCATTAAAACACTTGAACCAACCAGTGGTCTAGTTTATCCCGAACTATGTTTGCTCTGATTTTTCATACCAGATGAGGATACGTAGGCACAAGACGGCGATGTCTTGGCGAGAAACCTTCCCAACCTCCCCGTAGTTTCCCGAACTACGTTGACTCTAACTTTTCCATTGCACGAGGGAATACGTATGCATAGGGCGGTGATGTCCTATCGAGTTTGTTCTTTCTCTTCCCCCCTCCCCCCCCCCCCCCCACCCGTTTAGCAGCCTTTAGATAGTTTTTTACACATAAATTAGACAACAAGCGTGGATCCCGTTGAGTACAACGGACGTGAGGGATGCTCATACCTTCCCCTTGCGTAACCGACTCCCGAACCCAAGATTTGGTTGCGATGACCTTGTCTTTCCCTTTCTCTTAGGTTTTCTTCGATCGTTTCCTTTTCCTCTCTTTGGGATAAATAACGTTCGGTGGCGACTCTTCTGTCTAGTTTGTCGGTCCTCTTTTTCGTAGTTGCGACATTAACCCATTAGGTCCCTTCTCTTTACCTTTACCCTTTAGCATACCCTTTAACAGTTAACCATTAGCAATAGCACATTTTAAACAAGAGGTTCCTGTAGAGTACTACAGAAGTTTAGGATGTTAATACTTTCTCTAAGCTTAACCAACCCCCGAACCCTATATCTCTCCCCGCATTGTGTTTACAGTGCAAAATTAGGTTTTTCCTTTCTTTAACTTTTTCTTTAGATAAATCAAAGATCGGTTGTGAACTAGAGATGTGATTCAAATTAATTAATAATTTGATATCCTATTCTCACCGCAGCAATTTAATATGCAGAATTGTAAGGCAGAAGATGTTCCAATTACTAAAGGAGACAAATTTAGTAAAGATCAATGTCCTAAAAATGAGATTGAGCGGGCAAAGATGAAGGGAAAACCCTTTGACAGTGCGTTGGGCAGTCTAATGTATGTTCAAGTATGCACTAGGTCTGACATTGCTTTCATAGTTGGTGTCTTGGGACGATATCAGTCTGATCCTGGGAATGATCATTAGATTGTTGCTAAGTAAGTGATGAGATATTTGCATAGAACTAAATAGTATATGCTTGTTTTTATAAGAGTTGACAACTTGGAAATAGTTGGGTATACTGACTCGGATCTTGCTGGTTGTGTTGATGATGGGAAATCTACTTCTGGTTACATTTTTATGATGGCTGAAAGTGCGATATCATGGAAGAATAAAAAGCAAACTCTTGCCTTCTCTTCTACTATGCAAGCAGAGTTTGTTGCTTTTATGTTGTTGTCACTCATGTTGTTTGGTTGAGAAATTTAGTGATTGGACTTGGTATTGTTGATTCAATTACAAAGTCATTTAAGCTTTATTGTGATAACAGTGCAACTGTGTTCTAATCTAAGAATAATAAAACTTTTAGAGGTTCTAAGCATTTGGAATTGAAGTATTTGACAGTCAAAGATCTTATAAAGAAAAATGACATTGTTGTTGAGTACATTGTTACTGATTTCATGCTAGTTGATCCCCTAACTAAGGGACTTAGGCCCAGTGTGTTCAAAAACCATGTTGAGAGTATGGGCACTGTGAGTTCTTTTGATTTACTTAGTTAGTGGGAGTTTGTTTTTTATGTCATTTTCTTATCATGATATATTTTATTTTGGACACTTTAAGTGTTGGATTTTCAAGTACTTTCTATTTTAAACAATTGATATTACAATGAATATTATTATTATTTGTCATTGTTTATTTATATGTCAATTGTTAAAATTGAGACTCAGTGTCATCGGAACCACTGTGCCTATGGTCGGCACTAGTTTGTAGTTTGAGGCATGGTTATAATTTTGAGCTCGGTATCTTCGGGATCACTATATCGATGGTCGATGCCACATTGGAGTTGAGGTATGATTTATGGTTCGGCGTTGTGTTGACCACTGTGTCGGTGGTCGACGCCATATTGGAGTTGAGGCATTATGGTTTGTAAAACCATGCAATTTCTTTGGCTTTAATGCATTTGACAGAAATTTTTAAGGACTGACAAAGAAAATAGTTGACGGAGTCCGTAGTATTTGTAACCACATAAGGTTTCATGTCAATGAAAGATATAATAATCGTCGTGATTCAATATTGCTTGACTTTTATTGGATGAAGTCATATTCAGATATTGCACCTGAAATCATGCATTTCCTTAAAATGCGGGAATTAGTCATTAACCCGAGAGTCGTTTTCAAAATGTATTTTAAAATAAAAATCATACAATTGATTTTGTTCAAGTGGGAGAATGTTAGATTTATTTAACTTTTTATGGGTTACAATCAATTGTTGTTTAGTTTATTAAAAACGGGTTAATCGTGATTCTGATGGGGGTGCATATATAAGCCCTTTTATTAGTTAAGTGATCCCTTTTAACTAAAGGCTGAGTATCTGAAACCTGATTAGTGTGGACAAAAGTGTGAATTTTAACCTTCGACCCATAATGAGTAGAAACTAGAATTATATATATTATAGGGCTAAGTCATCTCTATAATCACAAAAGAATCAAAAATATAACTTACGTCTCCACAACTTACCCCATTGAGAATTGTGAACAGGAGTGAGAAATACAGAAAAAAAATTCGATCATTCATCCTTTCGAAATTCCATATCATAACTTCAACAAGTATTGATGTTTTAATTTCATATAATCGATTAATAAATATTTCCACTTACAACATATGTTTTGTTAAAAAAATAAACTAGATAATTTGCATTAAACTTGATAAATTTACTAAAGATAAAAACAACCCAGATCTAATAGTATCAAATCAAAGGACTTCCTATAATAAAAATGGATTAAATTATCAACCTAATAAATTGTTCGATAGCATTCGTCATAAAAGGAAGAAAACTAATCATTGTGTCTAATCATTATGTATTCAAGTACAAGAATTGTAATAAATTTGATCACTTAAAAGCCTTTTGTTGACACAAGAGCATTCCTAATTTCATTTGTTCTTCAATTACATGTTCACACTGACATGAAGGAATGCATTGGACAATGGTTCAATCCACCAACTTGCCTATTATTACATATAAACTCACATTTCCTTGCCATATAGACTTGCTCATTTCTTAGAAAGAGAAAAAAAACGAAGCAAGTTCTATTCTTAGAGTCCAACATAAATGTACCCAAGGTAAAAAAAAGCAATATCCAATGTTTAATACACATTCATCTTCAAACTTTTAACCTGTATAAATAATCTAGTGAAAGACCAACCAACTTCCAAGTATAATGGTGACAAAAATGTAAAGAAAAGACACTACTGATGCACACTCTTAGGACAAAATACAGGACAGAACTCTTCAATTTTGAACAAGGTTATGCTGAAGCACACTATTAGGACAAAATAAAGGACAGAACTCTTCAATTTTGAAGGTTATGCTGAAGGGTCTTGTCCCAATTTCCAATGTAGAAACACTTGAATCCCGCTACTAAGACAATCAAAAGATTTCACATGAAATCAAAATCATCCAAAGCATCGTATCGATCAGCGGCAACAAAATCTTCATCTGGCTTGTCAACATTAAGCTGCTTTTTCTTGCCACCTACAGCACAACAACAACCTTAAAATCAAGGGAAAAAAGAGAAAGATAGCAAAACATGAATAATAAAAGCAACATAGAAGATACTAATGTTCAGAGGAAGTTACCTGTCTTCTTTTTTCCAGCATTGAATTCCTTCTCTGCTTTAATCTTCTCATTTGCAATGGCAGTTACGGAAGATGCAATATCTTTGGCATCTGCTCCTTTTAGAGAAGTCATTGATATTCTCATTACTGACTTCAGTAGATTCATATAGTGATAACTTTTCTGCATCCATCGAGAAGAAAATTAGGATGCACGTTCCACAAATAGCTAAAAGGAAGGTAAAAAGCAGAAGTGTTTAACCTCGAAAGCACGAAGCCTGTGTGAGATGAGTTCTGCGTACTCCAAGAAATCACTCTCAGATTTCGGTATAAAAGTATCAATGTTCTTTTCATCATTAGCTCCACCAAACAATTCCTTAGTTGACTTATAATCTGCTTCTTCAACCAGTCTGTTATAGGAAGAAAATCAAATCAGAAACAGAAGACTACTTATAGAGACTATAAGTTATTTATCTGATCCTTTTATATGCTGCACTCACTCAGAAGATATGACAACCAAATATTTAGTAAAAGGAAGAAACAATTTTACATAAGATATTACTTAAACGCCTAAATTAATTGCAACATAAAATAGAGAACGAATATACTTGAAAGTTGAATTTCTAATCACTGAAGTTCAAAGGTTTTTAATCAGAGCAAGGAAACCAAAATTCTACTGCAGTGATGCTCTGTTTACTGTACTTTAAATAGAATTTGGCTATGCTTATAAGTTAGGTCTTATTTCAGTTCTAAATCAAAGAGTTATAAAATGATTCTAAAAGTATCTAAACATGTTTGCAGATAGCTTTAAGCATAGCCATCTTTTCTGCAAAGATTATACTTTTATGATTGACACACCAAACATTCATCCATATTTTAATCCATGTTTGGTGTGTCAATCATAAAAGTATAATCTTTGCAGAAAAGAACTCAACTATTGACTCTTCACATCCATGTTCAGATTTGGAAAACGTTGGGTCTTAAATATGTGGCAGTAATTTGTACTTAGGTTTAAGTGAAAGCTAAGATTAATAACCACTATATTGCCTGGTCAAATAGGGGAACCAAAGAAGAGATAGCTCTAAAAAAGATAAATTTTATTGAAACCATGGTTAAAGTATTTACAAACCACTTTACCACAAAACAAAACCAAGTTGCCATAAAAGAAGTACATAAAAGCAATCAAACAAGAAATAAGATTTCAGTTTGCGGATGACTCTTTATATCGAGCACTAGCTCAATCATATTTTCTTAGCCAGCATACATGGCAAGTGACATTATGTGGCAAGGCTACACAAGGTTACTTGTACAGTGTAATAATATATGAGACCAGAACGAACAACACGTTATTCTAAAAGGAACATTAGGATCAGAGAAAACAAATCAAAGGCAAAACGATAAACCTTTGTTGGCGTAGTTTTTCAGCTAGAGGATCCAGTGGTTCTTCCTTTACTGGTTCTACTTTCTTTCCCTTCTTATCAGCAGCTTTTTCAGAAGATTTTTTAGGAGCCTTTTCGGTTGTTTTTACTGCAGGTGCTGCAGGTGCCTGATGGTATTATGCAAGCAATAAAAAACTGTCGATTAGTATATCTAAGGAACAGTTAAAGATCATGATTATAAGAAATGCTGCATCATTTTTTTAAATAAAAATGATGCATCATTACATTAGAAAAAATCATGAAATTCATTTAAATATACTAAATTCATGATTGTTAAAAAGTATAAGTAAAGCAACTACACAGTTTTGTATTTCAAACAAATCCTCACACCACATCTTGTCTATAAGAAAATTATTAAAAAAAATGCTCATTGAACTATAGCTGTCTGCAAAGTAATACACAAAATGTAAAAGATTTAAAGCAACAACAGTGATTGCATTGACATCAAGGTAGTAAAAAAGTAAGTGCTAATTACACAATAAGATGGTAGTTGAGTAATAAGATGGTAGTTGAGTAACTAAATGAGATATTTCTATCTTTTTCATTTAAAAATTATAAACATAACAATTGTACACATGTAAATGAAATGAGGTATCAAAAAACATTTCCAATTGTCCTTACAGGGGCGGGCTCATCGTCGTCCTCCCAAGAATCCTTTACATCATCTTCATCCACATCTTCATCTTCCCATTTAAGTTTAGGCGGCTCTTGTAACTTAAGTTCAATAGGTACCAACTTCTCTTCCTCTGAAACAAATATACAAACATTTCTCCAATAAATAAATAATACAGTACAAGAAACACAGTATGCTTAGAATGAATTAGTGATTTATAGCAACTTGTATGTCGCAATCATGCAGTGTGATTGGAACTTGGAATTGATTTAATTTATAAATGAAAGCTTTAGTTGGGAAATCTAATATAATAATTAGCAAACTACTTGATGTAGAGATCTTGTTTTTTGGTAGTGTAAAGAATATAGAGGGATGGCAACTACTGCGAAGACTATGAACCAGGGTACAAAGTAAACATAAATACTCAAAAGTAGAAAACTATATACAATTAAAGAGAGCACCATACTTAATAATTGAGGAACCTAAAGTAAGTACAGAACTTAATCAGAGAAGAACAAGTAGATTGTGAGCAAGACGATAACAGAATAATGAACAGAAGAATTCCCCTAAACAGGGTTCAAATTGACATTAACAACCTTAAAAACAATTATTAAAAATAATAGAAATTTTGGTCTGAAATACTAATTGCGGACGCAAAAGCTGTTTGGGGTCTCAATTAGCTTCCACAACAACTGCTATTGCTGACAGCAGCTTGCAGGACAAAAGAGTCATGCCGAACCCGACCACCATCATGTTATTCGGCTACAGCATGCTATTGACAACACAGTCCATATATGATAATATCATACTTATTAGAGTAGCCATTTGAAAAACTATTATTTAGGTGATGACAATAACAAGCTTATTAAATCTTTAACATTCAAAGGGTGCAATTAAGTTTATTTACAGATCAAGTAAAATCAACTTTTTACAAGAATTCCAAATAATTCAACCCTCTCTGTAAAGAGAAAGGCTAGGACTGAGATGATACTAAACAGCATGAGAAAACACCAAAGATGGTATCTGTATTTCAGCAGTAAAATAAACAATAATATAACATAACAACACATATAAGCTGTTTGAATGTAAAACACACACTACACATCATGAGCCAGTATGGATTGACTTAATGGGCTTTTCTAATGCCATAAGCACTTGTGAGACTGTTTAGGAAAGCTTATGAAAACAACTTCTCGCATCATAAACATTTCCATACAATAGTTTTCAGCACTCTGGGGATGGTTTATACATAAGCACTTAGATACAAACATTTATGTTAGGTGTTTACCCAAACAGTAACTTAGCTGAATGAAAATTTTCACCAAAAAAAAAATGAATAATCCAAATTGAATTGAGCGTGCTAAAATTAAAGAATAAGAATCACATTACCCCAATCATCCTCCATTTGATCTGATTTCACAAGGTCGAGAAATCAGAATTGATAACAAAAACCGTTCCTGATTACCAGCTGCATGAAAAATATATCAGAATCAATAAAAGCAATAAGAGTTCAATCAGAATCACATCGTCAAACACTGCATAAACATCTAATAAAGACTGAATCCTGTTAATCGCGGCTAACAGCGGCACAATCTGGGCAGTGCAGATGGTAGCGGCCGCTGGACGCTACAGTGGTACCAGGTGCGGCGCGCATCACTGTTACTGTAGCCTGAGATGAATTTTACGATGACGACGCGGCGCGTGTAAACGCCGTCACGGAGTTTCGCGCCGCTACATTGAAGATTTTTTGGAAAAACTGAAAAATCTGAACAGATTAGCGTAAATAATCAGAGTAAGAAGAGGAGAAGAATTGAGTAATCGGAACACGAACCAGCGGCTAGCTTGAATTGCGGTGGTGGTGGTGGCGGCGGCGGCAGATTGTGCTAGGTTAAACGAAATGGAAGAACTCCAACTTTGCAAAGTGACGCGATGAAATAAAAATAATATTATCGATAGTATAAATATAAATTATGTAACTATGTTATAGAATTAGAAACGGTCCAGTAAATATCAAATAAAATATTATCTTTTTTCCATTAATTTTAAAAAGCTTTAAAATTGTCATTTAATTGTTTAAATAGTGTTATAGTGGTGTTTTTCATCTGTTTGGAAATGTTTGTTTTGGTTTGCGACAGTTGACGTGAATTTTATATATTATTTTCTGCGTTTCATTCTATTTCTTCTTATTTTACAAGAATCTTTTTCAAATAGATATAAGATTTTCATTCTCTTCCTTCTTATTTTACAATAATTTTTTTCAAATTGATATAAGATTCTTTAATTTGGATAGGTCAACACTCTAATTGGCTTTGAAAAATGAAGTTATCATCATCAATAAATTTTGGACATTAGTTCAAACGAATTTAATTTGCGATGGAAATTCATACGTCGCTGTGGAGACATAGATGTTCTTCGCAGGGTCTCAATTGTTACGAATTTTGGGAAACAATTTTGAGGATGTCGTCGTTATAAGGTTGTATCGGGGAAATTTGTGAGTGTAAATTATTGATTAACTTAACTCATAAAGTAAGAGTCGTCACCGCACTTTTATTTATCCAAAAAGAAAGGAAAAATAGCAAACAAAACCTAAAGAGATTTAAAATAAGAACAAACAAAGAATGGGTAAGGGGGTTGGTTACATTAAGGGAAGATGTTAGCAGTCAAAACGTCTATAGTACTCTATAGGAATCCTTTGAAATATCTATACTTTTTGGTTTGAAAATATTTGTTTGAAAAGAGATTGTGGAGATGAAAAGAGAAGTATTTTTTAAGATTTTTGTTGTATTTGAAGAGACTTCTTGAGCCTCATGTCTACCCAACCACAAAGTGCAATATAAGATCAAAACCTTGTAGTTTGTGATACGAATAACAAAAATAGTTTGTTATGATTGATAAATGAAAAGACAAATCGTCATTTTAAGGAGAAAACTACGATTAGTCGCCCACATGTATAAGAAAACAACATTCACATTATCTTAAGATGGAGAATTTTACTTGGATAAAAATTAACAAGTTTATCACTCAGCATCTAAGTGAAAAATGTCAACATCTTAAATATTATGGGGAATATGAAAATTATATCTCAACTGTGAAAATGACTCATGTCTAAACTTTATGAAAACTTTTATATGAAAAAGTGCATGAATGCACAAAAAGTTTGAATGAGTTTTTGTATTTTTATGTCTTTTTGAAATGGTCAAAGTATGATTAACATTGATTGAGATTTATTAAAGAAAATGAAGTTTAAAAATCACTGGACAAAAGTCAAGGTTTTTTATGAAAGAGGTTTAATTTTGAAAACAAGAAGGCTTTGAAAAAGGGAGAAGATTTTGAAAATTGAAGAAGGGGTGGATAAGAAGTGACTATCCTATAGAGCAAAATAAGAGTTAAAGATGGGAATATCTAACCACACAAGGAGCTAACACTTGACAAGAAGTCAACATAAGCAATCCTCTTCCTTTTGGATTTAAACTGCAAGCATAATAACTAGATGATATAAAGCATTGGAGGAAGTCCCAAATTAAGCCATAGAAAAGTCAAAGCAAGGTCCTCTCAATGATTAAAGCCAATTAGGAGAGTCATGTCTTAGATGATTTTCATAATGCCAAAGTATTAATACCTGCACACAGAAAATTTCCAACCAAACAGGCAAAAGCAACACAAAAGTCCAAGGTCTCAAATCTCCAAGAGCATAGAGCAATGATCCTAGATCTAAGTCTAAAGTCCAAGTCCAAGGTTCATACATAAGGTCATAACAGTCCGGATTTTAGAGAAGCAAGTTTTTCAGTGTTTAAGTATTTTGTTAATGTCTTAAGAGAATTATGGTCCAAGTGGACAAATAAAAAAGAGCATAAGCATAAACAAAGGTCCAAGTGGACAAAGAAAAAAGAGCATAAGCAAAGGTCCAAGTGGACAAAGAGAAAATAAGAAGACGATAATATGATATGAAATGATAAAAATAAAAGCATAAAAGTAAATGACAATAGGTAAAGACCATAAAGATAAATGACAATTAAAGGTAAAGTTAGTGTTAGTGTCTTAATGTTAAATGATAGAGAACGATTTGTCGTTTTTCGGAGAATACTCAACCAATCCACCATAAGTGTGAGAACACGAATCCATACACTATTAAGGGAAGGGTTCCAAATTGAATTAAATCAACGAGTATGCCAACTAAATCCCTAAATGACAGGGAAATGATCTATCTCGCACCATGCTACGACGATTAGAAGATTGATAATTCACTTACAAAAACAACGTAATTCCGATTTAGGGATAATTTAGCGATATATTAAACAATCATAATTGGACTTACGTAGAAGTCGCAACTATCTGAGGTCGTTCAATAATAATGTTTGTGCTAATGTATGCTAGAGAGATTATATGTAGATCATCCTCCGAAAGCAATACCGCACGAAACGAAAATAGGTAAGATTTTATCTTCATCAAGAACTTGAAACATGTTCCAATGATATTGAAGATTTTCATTGATCAAAAGAAGAAGAAAAAAGAGAAGAAGGGAGAAGGGAAGCCAAATTGAATCACAATATTTGAATCATTCCATCTTCAAGTTCCATCACTCTTCTTGGTGGATTAAAGCACTAAATATATCACTAATTTAAAGCACCTAAAATGAATCCAATGATTCACTTAAAGATAGATTTGAACTAATTAAGGTTTATCTAACTTCATCAAACACCCAAAGTCCATGGAAATTGAAGGTAAATTTGATCAACAAACATCACGATTCAAGGCAAAACAAAAGGAAATGGAAGAAGGAATAAAAGGAACCACAACAGTCCCAAAACAGAGCCAAAAAACACATCCTGCACTGTGCAAATCGATTGTGAAGGTGAGAAAAACACTTAGAATGGGGGTTGAATAAGGGTTTTAAAACAATTTGGAAGATATAAAAAAACACAGTATTTTTATCCTAGTTCGTTTGAACTCAAACTAATCCAGTTCACCCTACCAAGGTGATTTGCCTTTCTCAACAAGGACTTAATCCACTATATCAAACTTGATTACAGTGTAAACCACTAAGACAACTGTCTTAGTCTTCTCAAGAAATTATGACCACAACTTAGTCTTCTTAAGGAAATCTTTTATAAAGATAAACTAACAGTTTTGTGTTTAAGTAATGCTTCAAAAAAGTTATATCACAACAGTGATTTTTACACAAGTTATAGAATGAAAATAAAAGTTGTTCTATCTTGAAGAATATTTGTGAGAGCTGGTTGAATATTATGCCAAGAATTTGATTCAAGTTCATTTTTCGTCAATCTTTGAAGTGATGCTTGGACTTGCTTTTATAGTCCTTTGAAATCCTTTCTCAAAGACTGTGCAATTTGTGCATTTTGTTCTCTTTGTCTTCTAATGACTTTTCCTTACTCAGAAGAGGAATGTTCTGACAAATCCTTTTTGTATGAAATCTTGTGTCAAGCATGAATGGGAAAAAAGTTGTTTAGGATAAGACAAGGAATATACTAACGTATCTTTATTTGAACAGCATCTTCTTTAGCAACTTTGGAACGCTTTGCATCAGAACTTCTGATGATGTCCTTAGTTGTTCAGGTCAGAGTTAACTCAATCAGAGTTAACTCAATCAGAGTTTCTCTATCAGAATTTGCAGCAAAGTGCTTTAAGCATGAAATCCTTATCAGAGCATACTTGCTTATCAAAACTTCTGTACCTGCAGCGTTGAGTACTTTCAGAGTCTTATGAAGCTTTACGTATGTTCTTTGCTCAAGTTCTTCATAGCTTTGCTCAGAGTCATTGTAGCAGATCAAAGTCTTCTGATATGTTGCTTCTGACGCTCAGAGCTTTTTTGTTTTGTGATGTTCAGAGGCATTCTTGCTTCCAGAATAATATTAATTTTGATATCTGAAACAAATAAACACTTGAACAAAATTAGTGTATATAAATTCTCTACAAAATTTCATTAATGTTATCATCAAAATAATGAGATATATTGAACAACAATCCGTGTTCTAACAATCTCCCCCTTTTTGATGATGACAAAAACTATGGGAAATTTTGTAAAAAAATAGAAAAGAAATATTACTCCCCCTGAGAATATTAATCTCCCCCTGAAATGAATACTTCAGAAAAGATAAAATACTTCCCTTTCAGCTTCTGTATTCTTTTCAGCTTTAGAGGAAACTTGCAGATTCTCATACTTTTTAGTTCAGAGTTAATTCTTAGAATTTATCAGAAGAGAATTATTTGCTCTGAAATACTCAAAAAATATGATTAGTTGAAATTTATCATGTATGAGTTGCCTTTGATAACTGTTTATGTGAATTATCAAAATTACCATTTCCTCCCCCTTTTTGTCATATCAAAAAGAAAATATTTTAAGAAAAACTTTAAGACAAAAAAAAGATATCAGAAGAAAAACAATAA